GACGTGGATAGAGGAGGAAACTGGATATCGCGCGAGAGCGTGAGAGAGAGAGAGAGAGAGAGAGAGAGAGAGAGAGAGAGAGAGAGAGAGACAGACAGACAGACAGACAGAAAAGAAAGAGAAGAGAGAGCAGAGAAGAGAAAGACAGAAAGCAGCGAGAGAAAGAGAGCGAAAGAAAGAAAGAAAGAGAAAGAGACAGACAGACAGAGCACTGCAGGTGCGTGCTATAATTTAGCATTACATTCTGCCCGCGTTATGTGCTGAGCGCCGCCGCCGCCTCGCGTGGGGTAAGCTTGGCGCCTTCCCGTGTAGGCGATAGAGGCTGCAGTCCCTGGGTTCCCGCGGCTGGCTCTCATCACTATATATAGAATCGAAATCATGAAGGAAAACATTAATGAATGAGCTCATGGTAGGAAAACTAAATACCCTGGTCACGCATTTGCTCTTTAAGCCCCCCCCCCCCCCCAAAAAAAAAAAGAAAGAGAAAGGGACAGACAGACAGGCAGACAGACAGAGGGAGAGGAGAGGGAGAGAGAGAGAGGAGAGAGAGAGAGAGAGAGAGAGAGAGAGAGAGAGAGAGAGAGAAGAGAGAGAGAGAGAGAGAGAGAGGGGAGGGAGGGGAGAGAGAGAGGAGGAGGGAGGGAGGGAGAGAGAGAGAGGAGAGAGAGAGAGAGAGAGAGAGAGAGAGAGAGAGAGAGAGAGAGAGAGAGAGAGAGAGAGAGAGAAAGAGAGAAAAAAATATGTATATACACATATATATATATATATACATGTCTATGTGTGTCTCCTAATCTAAAATTACCCTCGCCATTCCCAAAGGCATAAACGTTTAAATATTTGTCCGGCAGCAAAACAAGCGGCGAGGTTAACTGCTGTAAACAAGCCGCTTCAATGGCGCGAATACAAATCCAAGCCAAGGTTGTGTTATGCCATCGTGTAATTTACAACAGCAAATTTATCTTGTCTGGGATGAAGTTCAGAGAATCGTGGAGACTTCTGAAGTTGTTTTTCCCCTTGCAAGTTAGTTCTTCAAGGCAATTTCCGCATTAAAAGCACTTCAGTCTCGCCACTCATATCTGGTCATCTTGGGTCATGGAGAATCTAATGACCTTGGGGGCTGTATAGAGCTATACACAAACATACATAGAACTCAGTGTTACTAGAACAATGTAAACGTTCTTGTTCGTATCTTGCAATTTATCTCCGTGTGTGGAGGGTTGTTAGACCCGTATTTACTCGCTTGTTGTCTTGAAAACCATGGCTTAACATTTCTTCTTTGTTTAACTTGACTCTAACTTCGTCGCATTTCATGCATCTGGAAGTCTGGCCGTACTACATAATGTTGATAATATATGTATGGGTATTTATATACACACACACACACACACACACACACACACACACACACACACACACACATACACATACACATACACATACACATACACACACACACACACACACTCACACTCACACTCACACACACAAGCAAACACGCCCGCATATATACATACATATATGTGTATGTGTGTGCGCGTGTGTGTATGTATGTGTGTAAGCAAACAGATAGACATCTTCGTATTGAAATTTGTCATATCGGCATGAAGGTCACGGCGCCAGGATTCGCCGTCGAATCTCAAATCAACTCAGCCTTCTGCTCGGAACCGGAACTACAAGGAAGGTCTTCATCCTCATTTGTTCCAGAGGACGCGATCGGTTGACAATTTTACGAGGAAGGAAAACGGGTTATCCGAACGCAGCTGATTCTAATCAGTGGTTTCCTGTGTGTAAGTCTTTTCGAAGGATATAAGGCTGTCGTTCTGTTTATTTCACAAGCGCCGTCCCTGTAATCATCTCTTAATATAGGATAGATTTGAATATTGCTACACAAACAAACAGATGCATTAATATGCTAGAGTTCGCTTACATTTTTGGCTGGATGAAAGTACCAGCAAAATTCTCAAGTGTTCTAAAATCTGAGCACTATATATTCATACATCTACAAGAAATTTGAAAAGATATTGAATGAGCATTTTACCAAATATGAACATATAAGAATAAATGCATGTCTGCAAAAATACATCTATCTGTTCGAACTTCCTCTTCTACTAAACTACTTTAACTATCAGAGGCAAATGTCATTGATAGTATGTATCTTTCTATGTCATGTTATTGGTACTTTGTCAAGGCACTGGTAGGCATCTCAAGTCGGTGCTTAGTCTGTCATGCACCCAGTAATCATATGAAGTGTATATTGGCAACGTCAGGTCAATGCTGGTGGGCTTATATGTCACTGAATAAGTCATAGGGTAATAAGGCATTCCTTTGCTAATGTTGTGTTGTGCTAAAACTGGGGCACAATTCCACCAATTTTATGCCACAAACGGGGTGGTCTGTCACCATTTATATTGCTATAATATACATATTCCTTTTTGTCATTCAGACTTGAGCAGTGCATTAGCTCTACTTCTTTAGGAACTTTATGAAAATAAAAAAGAGCTGTTAAAAATGCATTTATTAATTGCCAAGACAAACTATGCCATATTAAACATGGTTTCCCTATTTCAAAATATAAAAATATATTGACAATGACATTTAGAACTCTATAAAAATCTGTATCAGCTGAATCACTTTTGCACTTCCTACATAATGTATGCTGTCTACGAACATAACAAGATATATCTATCCCACCACCTGTTTCATGCTTGTGAATCTGAGAACATGGAAGACATATACAACCTATACTACCATTCTATTTGGAGTCAGTACTTGAATATAAATTTCTCACCAACATATAACTGGAAAATATCATATATATCTACTAAACCCTTTTGAGAGAGAACTTGTCAATAGCCACTGGGAGGCCTATAGTGTAAAACCATCCTTTTATCGCCATCACTAAATCCAGGTCTAAAACAACCACAGCCAAGCCAGCCTAACCATCGGCAAAAGAATGAAAAAAACTGCAACAAAGGTAGACTGGACGGATATTGAAGACAAGGGCGTTGAGTTGTGTGTTCTACCTTTCAGTTTTTAGTTCTTTTATTTCCTTCTTTTCTTCTTTCTAGCTGAGGCATGTGTTATCAATATACGACCTGCGATTTAAGGCTTGATGGAAAGGAGTTCTTGGTCTCTCTGCCACAGTCTTTTGCACAGGAAGTTCAAAATGGGCGCAGTGTGTGTGATCTCATCAGACTGGTCTTCCGAGGCTCCTCCCAGCTTGATGATTGGGACTCCATGTGTAGCTTCAAAAGAATCAAGTTCTCCTTCGCTTACCTCCCGGTTTGCATACTGGTCGCACCTGCAGGGAAAAGCAAGAAGTAAATATAAAGTATAATTATAGTTGACATATTTATTAAAAATTTGGTTGTTATTTTTTACGAAGAGAAAAAGAGGAAGAAAAGAATAATAAATATAATTTCCTTCTAGCAAAAAGTAGATGAAAAATTATAACAATAAAGAATATTAAAAACAGTAACTCTATTAAATAACCCATCTAACTTTTCCTCTTTCTCCATTTTATCTACAGATACCATCATAATTACTACACAACCATGACATATAGTGCAAGAGGACGCCATATAAATTGGCTGTAGTATGAACACCACATTACATAATAATATGGGATGTTGAATTGTTTCTGCACTGACTATATAGTACTATACAGTAGTATTTCTTTAAAGGAGATTAAACAAAAATATGAAAAATACATAGATATGTATGACACAATACATGTCATTAGATGCTACATGCAAAGGTTGTACATATTTCTGGGTGTTCCTATATCAGACTTTATGAGGAGCAGGTCTATAGACAACCTACCTTGTGGCAATTACAATTAAGGCTGCACGATCAGTAGGCGTTGTTGCAGTTGTCAGTAAACGAGGAAGTTCGAGCCACCCTTCACGATCTGTCACTGAGAAACATAGTAGCACAGCATCCACTCCCTCACGACAAGCCTGCATCATATAAGTATAAGTGTCAAACATGAAATCAATTATGAACAAAGAAACAATAAATCAGTAATGAAAATTGGAATTAGCTATTACTAATTAATGATTGATATGCTTAATAAACAAAGATAAAGGATAAAAATACACTTTCATCCACATTCTACGATACTTATTTCATGAATATGTGAGAGGGACAACAACAGGATAACAATGAAATAAAATAGTCTGAATCTGTAATATGAGGGATTATATTTATGTAACTAAAAGCAAAAGCAAGAGAAAGAAAGAAAGAAAGAAACATGGACAGAGAGAGAGAGAGAGAGAGAGAGAGAGAGAGAGAGAGAGAGAGAGAGAGAGAGAGAGAGAGAGAGAGAGAGAGAGAGAGAGAGAGAGAGAGAGAGAGAAGAGAGAGAGGAGAGAGAGAGAGGAAAAGAGAAAGAGAAAGAGAAAGAGAGAGAAAGAAAAAGAAAGAGAGTGAGAGAGAGAGAGAGAAATAACTTACAGGTAATACATGATTGTATCTTTTCACACTTGATTCTCCTGCATCCCATATTTCCAGTCGGAACAGAATCAAACGGTTCCCAATTTTCATGGGCCAATACACATTGCTACACTGGATTCCTACAGTCTCGGTGTGGTGTGTTGGTAGCTGTAAATGACACATTCTATAGTCTATTGTATATCAGAAAAAAATGATTAAAGATTCCATTACTTTCTGTCATTTATATTCTGTGCATTCTGACTGGCTTTAGAATCCAACTTTCTTAACCCATTAGATAAAGAAAGTATACTATGCCAGATTGATTTAAATAAACATCATAAAGTACTTATGATGTTCATGTCCTGTGTTATTGTCTCCAAAGAACAGATTGATTTATAAATGCACTTGCCTCCTGACCAGAAAGTCTGTTCATTGTCCAAGTTTTGCCCGAAGACGCTTTCCCAAACATGAATAGCTTGTAGGTCACATTTGGAGCCGCTGGAGGAAGATTGGGTTTCTCAAGCAAACCTTAAGAAAAAGAATGATAAATTATGTATTCAAAAGAATATTTAGTAGAATTATATTCAAGTTTAGAAAGAACATGTTTACTCCTTTGGAAATAGGGAAAAGTGTTCTCTTTTTTCAAAAGTGAAAATTCAAGACAGGCATAAGGAAAAAAAATAACAAGAAAAGATAACAAAAGAGGAAAATTTTCAAAATTCACTAAAATACCTTTTCAATATTTTGAATATAATTACACACATCAACTAAAAGAGAAATTAAAAGCTTCTTATAACAGCTTACCAAATAATTTTCTTTTCTTTGTTCCTGGAACCAAGAGTTTCTGTTGATAGTTCTTGTTCTCTCCTATAGCCCATTCAGGTGCCATGTTGATTTTAGCATCTACTGGAAATAAAGAACATTCAAAATCATATTATGTTATACAGTAGTCAGAAATAGCTAATCTCATTTAAATTTATCATATCACTTTATACTTTATATAGATTTTAAACTAAGATTCAGAAAATTTGAAATAATGACTTGTAAACACAAGTAAAACTCATCTTTCTCCAGCATTAAAAAGATAAAACATAATAACGGTAACCACTGAGAAGGACAAATGTTTTTATTCTATGAAATATGCAATAACTATTCTCAATTCCTCATTTTCTACTAATATTGACATCAGCATAAAAGAACCATTGAAAAATGACTCTTAAGATAACAGACAAGTGTTTGAAAACAAAACATAATATTGATGCTTATGTTTACAATATAATTTGCTTTCATTATGTGTTTTTTTTTACTGTAAAGCGTCTATCCTCAAACCCGGGGAATTTGCATTATCTAACTGTGATATGAAAGGAAAACATGACAGGCAATTAATCTTAATATAAAAACACATAATTTTTCAAGAGTATCAAATGAAGAATATATCAACAACAGATTACTTTGGCCAATATTCTGCACAAACTGCTCACTGTTACTATGGATCAGCATATGATGTATATCATGTGGGGTATATTTCATATGAAAGTCTAGTCACATTAATTTTTTGTAATTGTATATGTATCTATCTTGGGATGAAGCAATCTATTATACAGTAAATATATCTATTTTCAAGCAGGTATGTCACATTAAAAGAACCTATTATGATAACTACACATAACATATCAGCATTTATAGTGAAACATGCCTACAACATACAAGAATGAGGAAACCATTCTATCCCCACATATCTCTTACGTAGATAGAGAACAGTCATAAAAAAACAATATTTTATGTGTCACAACTACTTAGTTCATGTTTAGATCTTATTTACGCAACCTTCAAATCCATAACATCACAAATATTACATGGGTCAGTGAAGTCGAGTCTAGATACTCCTCTAGATAGATTTATACAAAATCCTACTTTACAACTTATATCCACTAATACAATACATCTTATATTTAAGAATAATACTACCTCTCTCTCTCTCTTCTTTTCAATCAATTCTCCACTGTTCTCTTTCCATACATAATGACAATATAGATAAAAATGTAAGCTGATAACGCAAGCGACGAGTTTCACGTAGACATCTTGTGGCAGCTGAGTCGTCTGCTGTTTTGTTTACCCGAATTGTTGACAGTGAATACGAGCCTAAGATTATATTCCGACTGACGTATCATCTTTATTTTAGATGAATGTGGTATAATTTGATTTATGATTTAGTACCATGCTATTATGTGGTATTGCAATTTACTTTTAAATGTTTAAGGGGTGAGGGATATTGTACGATACTAAGGGATTTATTAAACTGATTTGAATTTTTTATATCATCTCGTAAATGTAGAATATCTGTTGACAGAGTACGTAAGCTGTAGTGTAAAGATATCAGAGTCAATTATCTCCTCGGGGTTAATGTCTTCATGCATTTTCCTTTAAAAATATTGCTTCATATGGGTCTTATATCATCTTTGAAGCATTCTCTAGTTAAACAAGCCATTTACAACCAACCACACTTCAATATGAGGTAGAACCATCATTACCCACAGAAACAGTCCCACCAGAAGATCAAACACCCTGTAAATCAACCAGGAAAAAAAGACGTAAGACCTAAGAGCCCCGGGAACAAAAGTCTTCTATGTCGAAAGCGGCCTCTTCGCGGCTGGCGAAATCCCAGCGCAAAGTGGGCCAAGCAGGTGGAACCACACAGTCCCACTCGGCCACAATCGACGTCACTGTCTTGCAATAAACAGCGCGCAGGTCGTGTACAGGGACAGTTGTAAGAAGCAAAGGTCAAGGAGATACCAGAGCTATTGTACACATCACTAAAACACTCTGATTACGTATACATACTCGCACGCAAAAACGGCGGACATACTTGTCTTCTATGCGTATCTAGCAAATGTACATAGATAATGCGTATAATTTTTATTCCACTTACACAGACGGTAACAGAAACCTGTTCACACACCTACACTACCCATTCACCTATCCAGACCTACACCCAAGGTCTTTACACACGTACACACATACAAATTCATTACATGCACTCATACACGAAACCAAACCACACACACACACACACACACACACACACACACACACACACACACACACACACACACACACACACACACACACACACACACACACACACACACACACACACACACACACACACACACACACACACACACACACACACACACACACACACACACACACACACACACACACACACACACACACACACACACACACACACACACACACACACACACACACACACACACACACACACACACCCACCTGCATTCACAGAAACCCCCACTTGATCAGACCTTCCCAAGAGGCCAGTGATTCCCTCATATTCCTCCGGTACAGATATGTGAGTAATATTCACTGGGTGTTGCCTCGGTCACTACGTCACTCCTCTATGTTCTTAAAATAGATACACGGTACTGCGCGGCTCCCTTTGACATTTAGGGGTTTTTTTCTCGTTTTTTTCTTTTTATGTGGGATTTCTTGTAGGTACGCCACATGAGCAAAAGTTTGTTTGTTTATTCGTGTACCCAAAGTCTTTAGGGAGATGAGGGCAGAGCTAATATTATGATACGAATTGTGTTCATATTTCTCGAAACTGCTTGTTGACGAATGGCGAATAGAGTCCTGTAAATGAGACGCACATTGGATATAGAATGTAGGCTTATGATATTGTTTTCTATGCGTCTTTACTATAAGTCTGTGTTGGATATAGAATATAGGCTTATGATTTTTTTTTCTATTCGTCTTTACTATAAGTCTGTGTTGGATATAGAATATAGGCTTATGATAATTTTTTTTTCTATTCGTCTTTAGTATAAGTCTGTGTTGTATTGATTACACACATACAGTTACACTTTTTTAATCTAAAATTTAATCTCTTTTTACAATAGAGGCAGGCTATGCTACAACGGAAAAGAATGCGGAATTAGAATAAGAGTGAGAGCAAATTTATTCGTACTGACAGGTATCAGACGCAACCGCCATAATGTCTGAAATATAATAATAGTAATATCCAAAGAATATAATGTCTGATATCGAGCTGAGGTAACGCAGGTGAAGGTCCATTTTTAGCCAGACTATTTTGCACAATTTCACAATATGTCTAGTTTCGGTTGAAGGCAAAATCGGGTCTGAATAGCCTCTACAGTAATAGTCCGAGGTGGAAGGAAATAAGTCCTAAACAGCCTTTACAATCATGGCCCGAGCATGGAATGAAATAGGTCTTGAATGGCCTTTACAATCATGGTCCGAAGTGGAAGGAAATAGGCCTTGACCGGCCTTTACAATCATGGTCCGAAGTGGAGGGAAATAGTGAACAACAAGTCCGAAGTGGAAGGAAATAGCCCTTGAACAGCCTGTACAACCATGGTCCAAGGTGAAATTGGAAAAAGGTCCCGAATAAAAGCAAGCAAAGAGAGTGGGAGAACGGGAAGATCCCTGAGGAACGCTGACAGGCACGCAGTAAAAAAGTAGATGTAGCGCCGTCAGTGATATATGAAGCGCTTAGTAAGAGAAGGTGCTCGGAGAGAGAGAGAGAAAAAAAAAAATCTACTGGCAGCTTACCCTTTAAGAAATGTTATATCACCTTTCCTACTTGTTAACATAATGCCTTTAGATTCTTCAGTATGACCCAGCTTCCTAAACAGCTAAAAAGTTGGTTGGTTATCGAGCTATGAAGAAAATTCAGGAGCTGTTTTCTTTCTTAAAAAAAAAAATGGCCTTTGGGGCCTTTCTTGGCTACGTACTTCACAGGAAAAGGTTCTTGAATAAAAAAACATAAATGAATATATAAATAGATTTTAAAAAACTAATATTATTAGTCTGCGAAAAGACGTAAACAAACAAAAAGTAGCATTTTGGAGGCGTTAAGATTCAGCAAAGTTCCCAATGCAAGTTATAGAGAAAAGACTTAACACGTAATACCAGAAAGTCACATTAATGATCAGAAACAATGACAAGAGACTCGCTGTGTCCAGAAAGAAAATGTTTGATTTTCTAAAAAGATGATTAAGAAAGGAGTTTAATAGACAAGACCTTGCTTCCATAAAGAAATGAAAGAAAAGGTAGAGGGCAAATAGGTACATTGTTGGAAGATTTGGCCGAATGTAAGTAATAGAAGAATAGAAGAAAGGAAAATAATAACAAAAATCGCAGCTGACCAAGGTTTAATATTATCTATTTGAAAGGGGGAACGGTTTCCATTATTCCCAAAATGAAAATTCAGTTCTAAGAGATTTTTTCCTCTAGAAATATAAGTATGAAACAATTTATAAGAAATGTTCGTTGTTATAAGCCACATACACATTCTGAAAGGCTGACAAACATTGGAATTAACAAAACAAAACAAAACAAAATGATGAAAAAAGTAATAAAGAATAGAAGAAACGTTTTTTTTAAGAAGAGACGAATAAAGAATAGAAGAAACGTTTTTTCTTTTTTTTTATGAAGAGACGAAAGTTTCAGTTAGCGACTAATGACATCATTTACACGAAGGACAGTAGAGTGTAGGTTAGGAATCCGGCTACAGTTGTGTGCTCAAGAACTGCTCGGAAAGACGATATGGAATAGGAGAAAAAGAGGGAAAGATAGGTAAAGACACACACACACACACACACACACACACACACACACAAGCAAACACATAATTGCATGTGCGTGCATATGTGTATCTTCTTCTCATGTTCATATGGATAGTATTTGTGTGAGTACATGAAGTTGAAACGTTTTTAAATTCCATACAGAGATGAGACACACATACGTATACACATACATTGAAATATATGAATTGGCCTATATTAGAAAAATATATACACATATATATGAATAAATACATGTTAATGTAAATGTGTATATATACATGTATGTATGTATGCATGTATATATATGTATATGTATGTACATTATGAATAAATTGATGTGTGTGTGTCCATGTGTGAATGCTTACATACTCGCTTTCTGTTAGTACACATATATTTCAGCCTATAAGTAACCAGGGAAAAAACAAGAATATCAATAAGAAGAGGAACAAGAAGGAAAATGCAGAGCAAGAGATAGAAAGAAACAAAGAAAGAAAAATAAAAGTCATCCGGATGCGAAGGCGAGGTTGTTGAAGCAGTTTCATCTGGAATGATATATTTAGACACTAAATCGAAGCTGCCTATCAAGCCTCTCTTAAAAACACACCTTACCTTTCCTCGTATTTGTTTTCACTCTCAACAATCCTATCCACCCCAGCAACAACCACCACGACGCCCTCATTCCATAACCCAGCCGTTCGAACACGTTGACACCTCGCGACACGGCTTCGTTCGTTTGCGTTCATTTACTGCGTTCGATTGCGTGCACCTGTCTTTAACGAGCTTCTTTCAGCAGCTTCTTCTGACGTCACGGTGACCTGACAGTGTTGTCTTCTCTGATCTGCGTATCGGAATGATAATAAACGTCAAGTAAGTGAAGGGCGCATTTGTTTTGCAGTTTCCGCCTGCTTCGTAAGTGTTCAAGTGAGTGGGTGTGCGTGAGTGGCAGAGGAAAGCCCCGGGTTGGGGATTTGCGCATTTAGACTGTCTTCTGTTTTTTGTTTTTTTTTGCGCATTTAGGCTGTCTGTACGTGTCATTTGCGTGGGTGTGTGTTTGCGCATTTAGGCTGTCTTCTGTTATTGTGTATTTTTGCGGTATTTTGTATTTGCGCTGTGTTTGTTTTTGTTTTTGCTGTCTTCTGTTTTTTTTTTTTTTTTGTATTTAGCCTGTCTTCTGTTTGTTTTGTTTTTTGTTATTGTGATTGTACATTATTTGCGCATTTAGGCTGTCTTTTGCTTTTTTTTTTTTTCTTTCTTTCTTTCGTTTTCTTGTTGTAAAGGTCAGGCTGACATTGTCACGGAATGTAGATCTGTTTTATCATTTACGTATAAATAGAGGGAATGGTTATAGCATGAAATCACTGAACACATGTATTACATTAAGCTGCATTTGTGTGTGTGTGAAACCAGCGCCTCTTATCATGGAGGTCAAATATAACCAAGAGAAGTTCATAATATCTGTAAAGCAATTATCCACTTAAAGTATTCAAATTAAACGATATGAAAACACAGAATACTGAAAAGAAAGGAAAAAAAGAGTAATTCCACAAGATATAGACACAGGCTTCAACGTGACTGCAATGTCGAAAGTCAATTTTGAAACACGAACTAGATAATAAATCTGTATGATATGATTTGATGGTGAGTGATGCATTCCACACGGGGGAGGGGGGGGGGGGGGAGGGGGGAGTGAAAACCTCAGTGGGAATCCCCGTTTGTTATTGCTGAGTCTCTACAAATGCATCCAAACATGAACTTTGGTCTAATTAAACGTACACCCCCCCCCCTCCCCCCTCCCCCCCTCCCCCCTCCCCTTTCCCCCAACCCTCCAAGATAAATAAAGAAAAAAGGAGAGAAAGGAGAGAGGGGAAATCTGGTATAATTGACAGACCTAATTAAATATTCATTTGATATGACATTCATTGTTTGGGCAGACGTCTAACAGTCTGGTGATGAGACGTAACCAGCTGTTGGGAAGACGCTCACCGCAGTTGGTAAATAGAGTAGAGGCAGAACATTATGTTTGTTACTGTAGAAAGATGAATATCTGTGTCTAATGTCAGCAACGTTTTTGTCACGTAGCTTTCACAGGTTAAAGAATTTTTTTTTTTTTTGTTGTTGTTGTTGTT